CCCTCTTTCTCTCCTTCTCCCCATGCTTGTGCTCTCTCTCTTTCTCTCTCTCTCAAATAAAGTCTTGAGAAGAAAAAATAAAGTAAAAGGAGGAACAAGAGAGAAAGACAAACCAAGAAACAGACTTTTAATTATAAAGAACAAACTGGTGCTTACCACAGGTGAGGTAGGTGGAGGGATGGGTGAATGTAGTAATTCACCCATCCCTCCACCTACCTCACCTGTGGTAAGGTGATGGGTTTAAAGAGAGCACTTGTTGGGATGAGCCCTGGGTGTTTTATGTAAGGGATAAACCACTAAATTGTACACATGAAACTAATATTACAATGTATGTTAACTAGCTGGAATTTAAATAAAAACTTGGAGAGAAAAAAAAAGAATGATTATCCTTTGAAAATTAGCACATATAAGAGGTGTTCCATGCCACATGGATACTGCCCTTTTTTAAACAATGATCAGAACACGGAGATAAGAAATATTCCTTTATGAAAACATGTTTTGCCTTTTTTTTCAGCTATGCCAATATTCCATATTTGCTATCTGACTCTGCCTAGGATCATACCCCTAAGCTTTAGGTTTAGGATGCTTGGTCTCAATCCTTTTTCTCAGAGATTAGCCTTTTTATTTTTTTCCTTCTGAGGATTAATTCTTTCTTCTGAGGCAGGACTATTTTGCTTATAAAATGTCCTAGAGAATAAATATTCATCCATTAAGGAAATAGAGCCTAAAAAGAGTAAGGAGAGCAGAAGGGCTGTGTACATAGCCCCTTTCCACCACCACTTGTCAGCAATACTTGATATCTCCACGTAACTGCTTTACCAGGCATGGCAGTTAAATAAAATCAGATGAGGAGCTCCGTTAATGCGGTCTTTAAAAATAGTCACTATTCTACTGCTGCTAGATAGCTTCTTCATCTCATGGTCTAGACCTGGAAGATGGTCCCAGGCTTTTCTAAAAGTAAAATTGGCTACACAGGTAGATGGGAACAGAAATGGTCTTAATGGTGCATTAAGTGTCCAATTACTTGAGATTATTAGAGCTCAGTTGAATGACTGTAACAGCGCAGATTTCAGATTTCACACTTTCTGGGTTGAAGTGCCATTTAGAATGCATATTGTCTTACAGCAAATGCAAAAATCAAAGCAGATTCACATATGGTAATTTACCAGCTAAGCCTTTTCATTGCAGACATCAGATTTGTTCTCCCCTCCAACTCGTTCTCTGACAAGAGAACCTCCTTGGAATGGAAACTGCAATGATAGCATCATCATCATCATCACCATCAATCATTTTAATCATTATATTCATTACTATGAGTGTTTAGCCCAGAAATTAGCACTGTGAAGAGGACATTCGAAATGACAACCAGCCCAAGAGGCTAGTGGAAGTCCCAGGAACGTGAAAGGAGTAAGTTTGAAGCACCTCTCTTCAGTATAGTTCAAGACGGAAAAGCTTCATCCCAAAGGGGGCTAACTGGATGGATACCTGGAGCTTTACTCAGTTGTGTTCTGAAGCGTCTGTCACTGTGTCAGCAAAGCTGACCTGGAAGTTTCTCCATGTTCGCCACTTCCTTGTATTTAGTCATTTCTAGTTTCTTGCGTCGAAGTTGGCCATGAGAGCATGATTCGTAATTCTCAGGAACTTCAACACTTCCAAGGTCAAGTTTACCTTCTTTGGTCAAGATGATCTCCACAGCCAGCAGCAAATATGTAACTTTATGCATTAGAAGCACATAGTACAGATCAGAAAAGGGATATACCTACTCCTCTCATGGCACCTGCTCATTTATTTTGCAGGCCAATAGTGAACAGGTAGTGAAAGAATTATTCATGCAACTTAGATGTATTTGTGTCTTGATGTTTCAAGTTTACATACATGGGAAAAAGAAAAGTCTGCATCTTAGCATTCGACAACTTAACCATAAAGATACACCCAGGAACGTAAGGCATCTGGAGGCAGCGTCCACTTGGTAGGGGGCCAGTAGAGGCCTGCGTTCTTATCCCAGCTCAGTGATGAAATGTATGCCTGTTCTACAAATTCTGATTGCTTCCTTTTGCAGGGAGCTGAATGTGATACAGAGGCTTGTTTTCCTATTTTTTTTTAAAGATTTATTTATTTCTATTTTATACAAATAGAGAGCACCAGGGTGAGGGGCAGAGGGAGAAGGAGAGAGAGATGGAGGCAGACTCAGTGCAGGGTGCAGAGCCTGATGCGGGCCTCCATCCCAGGACCGTGAGATCAGGGCCTGAGCAGAAACCAAGAATCAGATGCTTTACGGACTGCACCACCCAGGCGCCTCTGGAGAACTTTTAGTTGGATTGAAGCTCATTTGTGTCTTGCTCTACCCTTAAACTTTCTTATCTGTCAGATGTAGATAATGATAGTGCTATCAGGAGACTTGAATGAGGCAAAGCCTGCAAAAATGTTCATCGCCCTGCTCGCTATATTTCATGGCAAATGCTTAATAATGTTAGCTCTTGGTTTCATGAAACTGAAAGAATATGAATAAGTGATCTTGAACCTTCTTTGACCTGATTTACTTTCTCATTGGAAGTACTTTGTGTGTGCGCACCTATCTCATAGGTAAGAATTAGCTTGCAATTGGATGAATTGAGGCATAATATCCTCTTGATATTTAGAAGGGAAGTATGTAAATATGATGAAGGCACAGAGGAAGCATAACTGATTCTTGCCCATTAATTTTATTAAGATTTCTAGTTTGTGAGAGAGAGCTGGAGTGGGTGGCCTTTGACAGCTGGCGTAGCCTGATGTCTTAGAGAGGCTCTCTGGTTCAGTGTGGTAGAGCTCATATTCATTCCATTGTTTACTCTTTCCATGACCCTAGGCAAGTAATTTGGCCTCTTGGAGCCCCTGTTTTCCTACCGGAGATGATACTTGCTTCTTTAGAATTGTGGACAAATAAACTAGGTAACTGAATGCTGAGTCCCTGCTGCCCTGCTTGGCATGTTGCAAATGTACAAAAATACTCTGGGACTAAGTCAAGATTATTAGGAAGTGGGAGATGGAAAATAACAATAAGAAACATCCTTAAGCCAAACAGGCTGAAGAGGCAGGGTGTGGGAAGGTGACAAGAGAGACTCCAGAAAATGAAGCCGTGCTGTCACTGTGCAATTTTCTAGTTACTTCTTTGTCCCATTAAATTGCCTTTTCCAACAATGACAATGACAAAACAATTGCGTCTTTGGCTTTCATAATAGATTTCACGTTAAGTTTTGTTGTTCCAAATAAGGCAGGTGCTGTAGACTGAATGTTTGTGTCCCCACCCTCACCCCAACTCCTGTGATGAAGCCTAATCCCTGGTGAGATGGTACTTGGAGGTGGGCCTTTAGGAGAGGATCCAGTCAGAAGGGTGAGCTCCCATAAATGGGATTAGTGACCCCACAAGAGAGACCCCAGAGAGCTCCCTCACTCCCGCCACCATGTGAGGACACAGTGAGAAGATGGGTGTCTATGAAGCAGGAAATGGCTTCTCACTTGGACATCAGGTCTGCTAGTACCTTGATCTTGGACGTACCAGTCTCTAGAACTGTGAGAAGTAAATCTCTGTTGCCTAAAAACCACTGAGTCTAAGGTATCCTATTGTAGCAATCTGAAAAAAAAATTGTTTTAAAAATTTATCTGGCCCTTTTAAAATTTCCAGACAAGCAAATTTGAGATTTCTTTGGCTCCAAATATTAGTCAGGGTAATATCTTGGGATCAGAATGTGGGAAGGTTACAAAGAGACAAGGACTCTGACTGTGTCTGAATTGAATCCTAAGCAAAAATACCTGGTTCCCAACAGGAAGTGGAGCTTTTACCATGAGATCCTAGGGTGCAGAACAGACAAATTTCTATTTCATCATTCACAACATGTCTTCTGAGCCACGAACACATCTGAAGCGATGACACGAGTACAGATACATGAGTTTGTGTGTTTCCTACAGAAGCCCACATCCCAATCATCTACTGAAATCATGGACCTGGTGCTAGTTCTGCTCGGGGTGGGGGGGAGGGAGAGATGTGGAAACCTGCTCTTCACCCTTCCCCCTGAGCAAGACCCTGTGAGTTGCACAGTATTCCAGGGGGGTAATGCGATGGTTTGATCACAGAAGTGCCTGGGATGCCAGAGCTGACTCAGCTTGACCTTGGGAATCTATTTGTCCTTTCTGAACCCCTCCTTCCACATCAATATTACACACAGCTTTGTTATTAAGTGAACTTATGTAAATTGTAAGCTATAACAGGGTATGTAGATAATATTTAATTTTAAGCAGCACAATTAGTAGAGGCAGGTTTATGGAAAAGAGGGAATGTGGGTGGGTATTTGTCAGTTCTGTGCTGCTTTGTTGGTTGTTGTGGATGGCACGTGAATGTGGATCTACACCCATACGTGTGGTCAGAGCTCACTGCACTGGGTGAAGTCACAGCTCTGGTCTGGCTTCCTAAGGACAGTGGGACACGAGGTTGAGTGAGGAGCTCAAGGGATCAGTGGCCCATGACTCTGGCCCATGGAAGTCACACTCCCTGTGTGCCTGCCACATGCTCTCATTGTTATAGGTGCCATAGGGGAATGGCGGGCAGGAGACAGACACAATCTGTATTCTCATGTTGCAGACATACATGAGGGTGATGGAAGGAACACACCTGAAGAGACAAAATCAAGCAGGAATTCAACCAAGTATGAGTAGACAGGGGAAAGGAAATGACTTGGTGATAAGGCGTTAAGCTGGAGGAAATCTCTGGGGTTATTAGTGTCAATCTTTTCATGGTACGGAGCAGATACAGAACCCAGAGGAAGGGATGTGTTCAAGGGGAATTTTCAATTCATACAAAGTAATTCGGTGAAACCGTAACATCTTGCTTATCATACACGTGAAGTTGTATTACACTGTACATACTTTCCACTGTTAAGTCTTCAGAAAGCTGTTATTGCTTTTTAAGGGCAAGGTCGGTGGTACTAGTGTGGCTATGAGCAGGGTTCCCAAAACCAAACTCTACCATGAGCTGGTACATCATGTACACTCTGCAGAGGCTCTCAGGAAGCAAGGATGGGAAAAAGAGGGAGCATGAAGCTGAATTGTATCTGCTGTACCTGAAGGTGAGGCACAGGTGAGGAAAAAAAAATCAAAGTTTCAGTACTTGGGAGGACAGGCTCTTCAGAACCATAAAGTGCCAAGAGCCTGTTGTGACCCCTTTGAATAATACTTATTTCTATTCCACAGTTGAAGTAGGATGTGAAACAGGCCTACTTTTTAACTTAGATTGCATGTTTTGGGATTCCGTTTGATTGGGGCTACTAATAAATACAATCTGGTGGTTAAAACAGCCTCTGTCCCAAGCTACCCTTAGGAACAACAACCATTCACCTTCTGAGGATAAAATTGCAAGCTGCAAAGAAATAAGTAAGACTTTGTGTTCCCTGTTATTGCAGCCCCAAGGTGGGGAGTTGGCAGAAAGATTGAAACGCCAATTTTAGTGCTTCCTGACTTATGCAGTCTTAAGCTCCATTTCCCAATATAGAAAATGGAGATGATAATCCATTATTTAATTTGGAATATAGCATATTTATGTATCTGATATGTGAGGAAGAAACGTTTCAAATTAATACTGGATAGAATATTCAGACAGGCTTTAAGTTGGAAGTTGAACTTGAGCATGGAAGACGTTTCAACTTAGCTAAAATAAAGCTATGAAGAAGTTGGAATGAAAGATCACAAGCAACAACATACAACTTGAAGCAATGGTGCTGTGTTTCCTGAAGTGTTTTCTTATGTTTGGAGCATATCATTTAATTGATTTGAATACTATTTTATAGCTTTTGAAGATTAGACAAATGGTAACGTCTGTTTCTGGTGTTATAGTAGATACCAGGGCGGACCCTTCTAATAACAGGTAAAAATGCTGGATTAAAAAAACATATATATTAGACACCTGGGGGGATCAGTGGTTGAACGTCTGCCTTCAGCTCAGGTTGTGACCCTGGGGTCCTGGGATCGAGTCCCGCATCAGGCTCCCTGCATGGAGCCTGCTTCTCCCTCTGCCTGTGTCTCTGCCTCTCTCTGTATCTCTCATGAACAAATGAAAAAATAAATATTAAAAACAAGTATTGTTGAGTAGACAAAGAAAGACCAAGTGCTAGAGCTCAAAACTATGTCAGAGTAGGAACCCATAGCAATAAGCAACTTTTTCATATAAATCATCTGTTGAATCCCAGTGAGCTTGGACTTAGTTTTTGTGACCTTATGGTGTGGAGTGAGGACTAGAGAAACAGAGGAACAAAAACTTAGTCTCAAAAAAACAAAAAAACTATTCTTAGCCTCAAATGAGAGTTTCATAGGAGGGTCCACAGAAGGTTGTCAGAGTGGACTAGAAATAAGTCAGCTGCCCCTGTATCCTCAAGGACTTCACGAATAGTACACTAAAATGCAAATATTTTTACTGTGTTTAAGTACATCAGAGAAGGAATTTATCTCTAGTTCTTTGGTGCCGGATATAGCAGAAAGTAATTTTTCTTTGGACTAGGTAGACAAAAGCCAAATACCCATATGGGTTTACAGCCCATATTTACACTGCCTGAGAGGTAATTAAAACTGGAAGTTAAGAATTTAGGTTAAAGCGATTCTGAATTGGTATTGTCCCCAAGAGCCTGGAGAAGCAAATGCAGACTCTCAAGAGCAATCCACCTTCATCCAATACCTCAAGAATCCCTACAAAGTTTTAAGAATAGATGAGCTCATAATTAGAAGCTAAATTAAGAAAAATAATAACACGAAGCAGGTTAAGTAAAAATGAGAAAAACCAACAGAATCATACCCTCAAAGGCTTAGGAGCAGGTATATTAGACATAAATATTCTTACCGTTTTAAATAACTTAAAGAGGGAGTGAAGACTATAGAAACAAAAAAATAGAAAGGAAAAATTAGATTTAAAAATAATAACTGGAAACGAACAACTAAATATTGAAAAGAATATGAAATAGCAGATTAAGCAAAACTGCAAAAACAGAATTATGGAATTGGAAAAGGTTACAAAGAAATTATTTAAAAGGCAACATATTAAGACAAAAAGTGTTGACTAGAACATTGTACTGAAATTTGAGAAACAACTGAAATTTCTAATGTTAAATAAGTGTCAAATTATAAATTATTCAATTTTAAATATATATTAAAATGATGCAGTCTCTAAAATTCCTTGTTCCTGGAAATAATTTACTCATTCAACATTTATTAACTCCCAATTGATGTAGTAGGTTTTGGTGGTACAACCGTGGGTGAAAAACCCCACGAGATTATGTACTTTTGTGGAAAAAAAAATGGCTATATGATAGTAAGTAGTTTTGGCACGTAGCACACTTTGAATTGACAGAAAGTGTATTTTGTTTTACTTTAGACAATCTTGAGTTTACTTTATTAAAATGTTTTTTATTGAGTATAGCTAACACAGTGTTACTTTAGTTTCGGGTGTATGGCACAGTGATTCAACAACTGTATACGCCATGTTATGCTCACCTCACGTAGCTCCCATCTGTCATCACACAATGCTATTACACTTCCACTGACTATATGCCCTATGCTGTGCCTTTTACCCCCATGATGTATTCATTCCATAACTAGAAGCCTCTGTCTTCCACTCCCCTTCTCCCATTTTGCCCATCCCCTGATCCCTTCTCTCTGGCGACCATCAGTTCCCTGTATGTACAGGTCTGATTCAGGTTTAGTTTGTTTATTCATTTATTTTTTTTTAGCTTTCCCATATAAGTGAAATCATATGGCATTTATCTTTCTCAGTCTGCCTTATTTCACTTAGTGGAATACCCTGTAGGTTCATTCATGTCACAAATGGCAAGATTTCATCTTTTCATGGCTGTATAGTATTCCGTTGTAAGTATGTACCACCACTTCTTTATTAATTCATCTTTTTATAGACCCTTGGATTGCTTCTATAACTTCACTATTATAAATAGTATTGCAATAAACATAGGGGTGTATGTAAGAATGAATTGATGAATTAATATTTTCATTTTCGTGGGGTAAATATCAGTATTGGAATTACTGGAATATATGGTATTTCTATTTTTAAGTTTTTTAGGACACTCCATATTGTTTCCCACATAGCTGCACCAGTTTACATACTCAGCAGTGCATGAGAGGGTTCCTCTCCATATCCTTGGCAACACTTGAACTGACAGAAAATATTTAAAAAAAAATCAAATCATGACAGTCTTTGTTATGTTATAGTGAAAAAGAAAATGGGGTGCTTGTACACCAGATATTGTGAGACTGCCCTGAAGGACAGAAGGCAGATAAGATTTTCCTGGTGTAAAGAATAGCCCATAGCAGACTCAGGAAAGAATTAAATAAAAAATCAGAGAGGTAGGTGAGGTTTTCCAAGCTAAGAAAATGGAGGGATCACCTGGGAGCACTCAGAGCTGGGTGGCTGTGGTACCATACATGATTATCCAGACTACCCGGTCTCTTAAATCTGATGCTTTTTGGGCCAGGCCCTGGGTCTCAGAAGCAACTGAACCAGATAATGACAAACAGTGGGAATGTGGAGCCTGAAAGTCAGAGGAGTTGCCTGGAAGGCTGAAAATTCCAGACGGTATGGTCCTCACTGCTCACTGAGAACTAGATATTTCTATACATTGCTGAAGACTGCCTTGTGCTGCTTCCCCATGGCTCCTAAAAGAAATAGCACTGTTAAGTCATAACATTCATACACGTACCTACAGGGAAGCCAAAAAAGATGAGAACCCTCACAAAAGACCAGAAAACATGGGAGAACAACTGAGGCAAGAGATTTCCTACAATGATGAAAAGCAGAGAGAGAGGAAGACAAACCAGGAGAGACTCCTGGCTCTGGGAATCAAAGGGTTGCCAAAGGGCAAGTGGTGGGTGGATGGGATAACTGGGTGATGGGCACTGAAGAGGGCACTTGATGGGATGAGCACTGGGTGTTATACTATATGTTGGCAAATTGAATTTAAGTAGAATATTAAAAAAGAATGAAAAGCAGAGTTTCAAAAAGTACAGAAATTTAAGAAACAATATTATATCATAAAATATATCTACTTGTCATTACATGTAATAAAAGAGTGACTTTTATAAAGGAAAATTATAAACATTACAAAATCAATAGTTACATTACAAAATCAATAATTATAATCAATAGCAAAGGCACCCCTGAAGAGCAAATCATTAAAACAGGAAGACGGATTGAGAATTTTTTCTATAATAAACAGCAAAAAAAAAAAAAAAAAATCTGGAAACTTTAAATTAAAAAAATTGAGAAATATGATGTTTCCACCCTCATCTATTGGGCATTCCAGAAGAAATGACCGGAGGACACACAAGAAGGAAATAATTAAAGAATTGACAAAATATTTCATTGACTGAGAAAAACACCTGTCTCTAAATGACAGGCCTCACTGAGTGATGAGCAAACTGAAGAAATATATAGTCTCACCTTGGGAAATTTTAGAAAAATTTCTGAATGAGCTTGCAGGAACTACCTACACAAAATGTACAATAAAAAGGAAAAAGAAAATAACCTCAGAGCAATTCAACAATCAGATCGACACTGGGAACCACAGACTATACCACTGAATGCGTAAAATAAATGGTACAGTAGTTTCATATTTCTGTGAAGCCACCTTCAGAGCTGTGATAGCTCTACAAGGGCCAAGGATGCTGTGAATGTATTTTTTTTTTTTTTTTTGAGGAGGCTGACTGGATTTGGAAGTTGGCAAAACTCCGTATCTGTGAGTCTGAGATAGTCGTGATCTTGGCAGCAAAAGAATGTGTTAAGGTCAACAGTGGTCTGGAGTTATGATACTGGTTGGGTCAAGCCACAGACTGGTAGACAAGCCAGGGGGACACCCCGGGAATCCAAGAATTGAAGCATTCATGGCGAGTGTAGGGAGGCTTCCATGAGGCCAGCTGTTCTGGAAGGTCGCATGCATCTGCCGGACGGTGTGCAGCACAGGACAGAGACACACACCCTTGGCTGAATGTGAGGTCCTGCACGTGTGCACAAGAGTTACGAGAAGGTTCAAGGCAGGGGACACCTGGGTGGCTCAGTCAGTGAAGCCTCAGCCTTTGGCTCAGGTC